GTATTTTTCTATGAATTTGTCCATTCATCGTTGGCCTAAAGTCATTTATAATATTCCCTTATAATTGTTTCCATTTCTGTAGGGTCAGTGAAGATGTCTCCTTGTTAATTCTTGATTTTAGTGATTTTTGTCTTCTCTCTCTTTTTTTTTTTTTTGTGAGGAAGACCAGCCCTGAGCTAAAATCCAATGCCAATCCTCCTCTTTTTGCTGAGGAAGATTCGCCCTGGGCTAACATCTGTGCCTATCTTCCTCCACCTTATATGGGACGCCGCCACAGCATGGCTTGACAAGCAGTGTGTCAGTGCACGCCCGGGATCCAAACCTGCAAACCCCTGGCCGCCGAAGCAGAGTGCGCACACTTAACCGTTGTGCCACCGGGTCAGCCCCTTCTCTTATTTTCTTGGTCAGTCTAGCGAAGGGTTTGCCATTTTGTTAAACTTTTCAAACAACCAGCTTTGGTTTCATTGATTTTCTCTATTTTTCTGTTTTCTATTGCACTGATTTATTCCCTAATCTTTATTTTCTTCCTTCTCCTTGCTTTGTGTTTAGTTTGCTCTTTTTCTAGTTTCCTGAGTTGGAAGCTCAGGTTATAGATTTGAAACCATTCTTTTCTGATATAGGTATTGAAAACTACAAATTTCTCTTTGAGCATTGTTTTAGCTACATCCATAAATTTTGGTATGTTGTGTTTTGGTTTTCATTTAGTTCAAAATATTTTTTAAATTTCCTTTGTGAGTTATTTGGCATATGGGTTTTTAGAAATGTGTTGTTTAATTTCCAAATATTTGTGTTTTCCCAGATTTATTCCCGTAGTGGATTGTTAATGTGATTCTGTTGTGGTCAGAGAAATACTTTGCGTGATTTCAGACTTTTTTTTTTTTAAAGCAGATAGTTTTTGTTTTGTTTTGTTTTGGCTTTTTTTGAGGAAGATTGGCCCTGCGCTAACATCTGTTGCCAATCTTCCTCTTTTTCTTTTTCTCCCCAAAGCCCCTGTACATAGTTGTGTATCATAGTTGTAGAATTGTAGCTCTTCTCTGTGGGACACCACCTCAGCACGGCTTGATGTGCGGTGGGTAGGTCTGAGCCCAGGATCCGAACCGGGAAACCCTGGGCTGCCAAAGCAGAACGCGCAAACTTAACTGCTACACCACTGGGCCGGCCTCCAGTTTCAGACTTTTTTAAATCTTTTGAGACATAGTGCCACCTTGGGCCCCTCACTAATATCAGCATGATAGATTCCCTCACTTTCTTTGTCTTTTCTCAAATGTCACCTTCTCAATGAGACCTACCCAGACCAACATTAAAATTGCAACCACCACTACTACCACCCCCTAGCACTTCCCATCACCCTGTATTTTTTCCAGTGATTTCCAATCACTGCTGTATTTTTTCTTTTTCGTAGCACTTATAGCCTTCTAACAGACAGTCTAATTCACTGAACTCTATGAAGGTAGGGATCTTTGTTTTCTTTATTGATGTATTCCAAGAACCTAAAATAGTACTTGGATCATAATAGTCACTGAGTAAGTATTTTTGAGTGTATACATAAGTATATTCATCCATTTGGTCATATGTAGCTGAAATTTGTTCACTTTCATTGGAATATAATATTTCATTTTCTAAACTTACTACAGTTTTATAATTGATTCTTCTTAGATGGACATTTATATTTTTGCTAGTTTCAGGCTATTATAAATAGCACTGATCTAAACATTAATATTATTGTATTCTGGTGCACATATGCTCAAATTATCTAGAATATATGTGTAGGAGTGGAATTGATATGTCATATTATGAATATATATTCAACATTAGTAGATAATGTCATAGTGATTTACGCTGTGGCTGTGCATTCCTACCAGCAATGTATGAGGGTCCCATTTGCTCTATGATCTCACTGATGTGTGCTATTGGCATTCTTTTTAACTTTTTGCCAGTATGGCAGTTCTTTATTAGTAGCTCATTCCCTTCTTAATTAGCATTTCCCTGAATTCTAATATGGTTGAGCACTTTTGCATATATTTGTTTGCCATGTGTATTTCCTCTTTTGTGAGGTAACTTTTCAATCTTTTGCCCGTTTTCCTAATGGGTTCTGTTCTTTATCAGTTATTTTGCAGCAAATATCTTTTCCCATTTTGTCACTTTTCTATCTCTTTGTGATAGTTTTGATGAACAGAAGTTTTAAGGTTTAATATAGTTGAATTTGTCAATATTTTCTGTAATGGTTAGTGCTTTTTGGGTCTTAAGAAATCCTTCCATAAATATTCTTATACCTTGCTGGCGGAAATGCAGAATAGTATGACTCCTACTGAGTGGAATTTAGCAATATATAGAAAAATTACATTCACCCTTTCGCAGCAGTGCCACCTCTTGGAATCTATTTCAGAGATATACTGGAAAAATACAAAATTCTGTATGCACGAAGCTGTTTGTTAGAGCATTATTCATAACAGCAAAAAAAGACTGGATACAACACCAATGTGCATCAGTAGTGGAGTAGTTGAATAAACTATGGTACATCCACACAGTAGAGTACTACGCAGCTATAAGAAGGAAGGGGAAGAGCTCTACACATTATATGGCGTTATCTCTGGGATATATTGTTAAGTGCAAAAAAGTAAGTTGTCGAACAGTGTTTATAGTAAGTTATCTTTTATGTAGGAGAGGGATGTATCTAATGAATTATATATGTGTTTTGTGTGTGTGTGCCTATTTGCTTATGTTTTCAAAAAAGCAACAATGGAACCATAAAGCTAAAACCTAATAAAAATTATTATTTATGGGGAAAGAAAGGAATGGTATGAAGGGGACAGAGATGGAAGTGAGACTTCTGTGAAGGTACTGTATAACACAGTTTTCACTTTAGACCCATGTAAATGTTTTGCATAATTTAAAAATTTAATTAAAAAGGGAAAAAATCAATTCCTAAAATTTGTAAACAGGCTGAAGCAAATGAACCTAACTGTAAATAAGACTGGTAGCATAACCATACAGAGAAAACAATTGTTTAAAGTGACTTTAAAACAATATTTGCACATTCCTAGTAAGATATATTTTAAGGACAAAAGTAACTGCAAAGAAGTATAAAACTGTATTCAGTAGTGTTATTGTTGATAGTCATATTAGTATTTTATTGACGTTTCAAAATTCTATTAACTATATTGTAGGAAAAAGGTAAATAATTTTGTTAATATCATTAAGAGCCAATATTTTAAGCATATGTGAAAAGAGATACAAGTCTAAAATCAAGGAGTTTAAGTAAAAGCCTTATACTTTTAAATTTGAAATGGAATTACCAGTATGAACTCATGATTTAGTTTTCTCTTTAAAAAATCTCCTGGCTTTGTTCACTAAAAAGGCCTAGAAGCAACAATAACTCAACAGCTATCAACACACCTAGCAATACATTGTGGTTTCTAAATACTATTTTCCACTACAAAGAGCCAGGGGTCCTTGGAGAAATATTCCAGGTTAAAGTCAGGAAATGTGCAAAGTGAGCTTGGAACATCTTGCTGTGCCAGAAAACTGGAAGGCAATACAGGAACGAATTTGAAGGGACTCTCACTGGTCCCAAGTGAGATAATTTGATGACTAAAAAGAATAATGACTACATTTAATTGAAACACATCAAATATATGAAAGTACATGATCTCACAATTATACTAAAAATAATCATTGGTCACCATTGGACATTTCTAAGGTACAAACTCATTACTCTCATAGTTGGTAAATAATGGGAAAAAAATCAAGCATTTATCCTCCTCTCCTATATGAACTGTATGTAGGGAAACCAAATAGTTGATGATGGTAAGTTCATAATAGAATTCCAGATAATAAATACAAAAGAAATAATAAAGTTAATAAATACAAAAGAAATAATAGAATTAGGGGAACTCCATTTTGCAACTCTTAATAAATTAATGGATCTAGGCAATGGTCATCAATGGATGCAAAACCCATTAGGTGAAAGGTAAATGGGAAAACTTCATAATGGAGGGATCAGACTAATACCACCTGAATCCAGTGATCAATTTCAGCATCACTAAAAATGGGACTACCAAACATTATGTGTCTTATGACATGATGTAATAGGATATTCGCATCTATCTATGGAGGATTCTTGCCTAAAACATTGAACCTGAATCTAATCAAACCTCTAGGTCAGCATTATCCAATGCAACTTTCTACAGTGATGTAAATGGTCCTTATTCTGCCTAATATGGTATCCACTAGCCACATGTAGCTGTTGAGCATTTGAAATGTGACTAGTTTAACCAAGGAACTGACATTTAAAAAATTAATTTAAATAGATTCGTGTGGCCAGTGGTTACTGTATTAGATATCATAGCTCTAGATTTAACTACCAGTTTGTAAGAAATAGGGGATTGAGGAGCAAGTTAAATAGTACCATGAGGAACAGTTAGTCAAATTCATTTGTTCAATGAAAAAATGATGTGGTTCCTCTAATAAATCAATGGAATGGGGGGAAAATGGGTTGAAGGGGTGGGAAAGTAGGGACACTGTTTTAAAATAAAAGAGGCTTAAGAGATATAACAGCAAAAGGCTTGTTTAGATCCTGAATTGAACAACCAAGTGTAAAAAGATATCTTTAAGATACTTAATCAGGGACATTTGAATATGAACTCTGTAGTAGATGATACTAAGGAATTATTATAATTTTGTGAAGTGTGATAATGCCATACTGGTAACATTTTTCAAATGTCTTTATCAGTTAGGTGTATATACTTGCATGACCCCAAGAGTGAGCACCTTCTTAAATTTTGCACCCAAGGCGCCTCACTTGCCTCAGCATAGTTCCAGCCTTCTTTCAGATGTGCTGTAATAACATAGCTATATATTATTGTCATTTGTCACAGGTTGTAAACACCTACCCCAGCAGAGTTTCTATATCTGAGATCCAAGATTTAATTTTTATTTATTTGTCAAAGGTTGTATTGGTAGGCTTTGTAGAACTTCCCTGTCTCTTTGTCTTGATCCAGATGAACCCCAAAAGAAGAACAAAGGTGATCCCATGAACAACCTGGAAAGTTTTTACCAAGAGATGATAATGAAAAAACGTCTTGAAGAGTTCCAACTTATGAGAGGTGAACCCTTTGCTTCCCACTCACTGGTCTCAGCTACATCAGTGGGAGATAGTGGCACAGCTGAGAACCCGTCATTACTCCAGGACAAGGGAATACAGGCAGCACAGGGTAAAGGTCTCAGTCTCCATGTGACAAAAGTTATTGATAATTCACCTGAGCAGTGTTGGACTGGGCCTAAGAAGCTGACGCAGCCAATAGAATTTGTCCCAGAAGATGAGATCCAGAGAAATCGTTTGTCAGAGGAAGAGATCCGAAAAGTTCCTATGTTTTCTTCATATAATCCAGGGGAGCCAAACAAGGTATAGGTCAAATCAAGAAAAAAAACATGGGTTGTTTTTATTTTTATTTACCTCTACCTAAAGTAATCCTTTTAAATTAGCTCTGATTATACCAAAGAATCATGACATAGGCACAGTGATTATGTTTTTCCTTGACCTTGACTATTCATTCTCTGTATACTATATAAGTAGCATATTTCCTATGATGTTCTTTGTGGTTTTTCTAAGGTCCTAAGCTACCCTAAGAATTTCAAAGAAATCTTGATGAGCCTCTACTCCATACCTACTAGAAGCCCCAAATTGAAGGAAAAGTAACCTCTAATGTCCTAGGCTAGTAATAAATGAAGTAGTATTCATAGGACCACCATATCTGGTAGCCATGGTGCCTCTGGAATTAGTCAATAAATAATTGACTATTTGGTTATGAGTAGGGTTTACTGTTATCCGTGAGTTTTCTCTTCAGAATGCTCCACCTGGCTTTCATATGATATATGACTTAAGTTGCTGGTAGCTAAGCAGAAAGTGAAAGCACAAGGCCTCTAAACCTTGAGAAATAGGCAAATATCTAGGTAAAGTTGTAAATAATCCTTATTTTACTGATCAGGTCATTATTTTACATTCATGGTATATGTTACACCTAGTATAGAAAACTTCATTATCATGTCACACAAAGAGGCAGCACAAGCCACTGAAGCATATACTTGCTTTTGTCTAATTTAAAAAAGAATACCAAAAAAATAATGTTAGCTTCTGGCTGTCCCTGAATTTTAAAAAAAGGCATTGTAGGTGAGGGATATTGAAGCAGTTTCCTTTGAGTGATTCCATTTCTAATATATTCTTGCTGTTAGTTCAAGGGTAGCTTGATTTTTTTATTGTGAAATATTACTAATATACAAAAAGTTATAGAGATAGTACAGCAAACACCTTTGTACCCAGCCAGCCATCTTTATTAATTCTTAATAGTCTCCATATTTGCTAATTAAGAAAATCATAAAGCCTTATAGAGACACTTGAAGACTTCCATATCTTCCTCACCAATTTTATTCCCCTTCCTTCTTTCCAGAGGTAACCAGTATCCTGAATTTGCTGTTTATCATTCTCATGAATGTCTTTATATTTTTACTATGTATCTATATATTCATAAATAACATAGTTTTACATATTTTAAAACTATATAGATGATATCATACTTTACATATCCTTCTACAACTTGCTTTTTTGACTCAATCTACATAATTTTTTGAAATTTATTTCTAATGATATAAGGAACTATATAGCATTCCATTGTAGAAATATACTATAATTCATTTATCCATTCTCCTGAAGATTTTTTCTTTTCATTTTTTGCTATTGTAGACAATTCTGCAACAAACATTAGTGTACCTATCTCCTGTTGCACATGTACAAGAGTTTCTCTAGACAGTTTTTCAAAGTTTAGGTTACAATTAGTAGGTCACAACCAGTGATTTTTTTTAATGAAATGAAATAGAATAGAAAATATCAAAGTGCATTCCATAGCGTAAGACTAGTTACTGTTTCTTAAAGCTTTTGTTTTGCGTGTGTGTGTGTGTGTGAGTGAGTGAGATATGTGTGGGCCAGAATGTAAAATGCATTTCTTCCTGTAGATCTCAGTAAAAAAAGTTGGAAAAATATTGCTCTTTCGCAGTGATTCTCAAATGTTAGTGTGCACCAGAATCAACTGGAAGGCTTATTAAAACACAGATTGCTGGGTTTCACCCCCAGAATCTTTTATTCAGTAGATCTGGAGTAGGGCCTGAGAATTTGCATGTCCAACAAGTCCCAGGAGATGCTGATGCTGCTGGTCTGACAGTGACATTTTAAGAATCACTGTTCTAGATTACATACCTAGGAGTGGAATTACTGTGTACAGGGTATATATATATATATCTTCAACCCCATGAGCAGAGTTTCAGAGATCTCTTTCACATCTTTGCCAGGACTTTGTACTATTAGACTTTTTATTTTTTGCCAGTCTAATATGTTTAAAAGGTATCTCATTGTTTTACTTTGCATGTTCCTGATTTCTGGTGAAGTTATGCATGTATTCAGACATTTATTAGCCTTTCAGGAACCTTCTGTGTGTTGCCTGTTCTGTTTCTTTGCCCATTATTTGATTGTTTAGTTTTTCATATTATTTACAGAGATTATTTTAAAAATCTGGATACAAACCCTTGCTGTTTTTTTAGCAAATATATTCTCCCAGTGAGTGGCTTGTCTTTTTAACATTGTTTTTGAAGTCTTTTGTTAAGCAGAAGTCTTTCATTTTAATGTAATCAAATCATCAGTATTTTATCTGACTATTTGTGTTTGTTGGGTCATTTTAAAGGAAATCCTTCCCTACAAATTAATAAGAAAAACACAAACAACCCAATAAAAATGGCCAGAAGATATGAACAGGCAATTCACAGAGGAGAAAACATGAATGGCCAATTAACTTCTGAAGTCTCATTAGTAATCAAAGAAATGCAAAACAAAACAACCATGACATACTATTTAACACTCAGGATGTGGGCATACATTTAAAGGCCTGACAATGCCAAGTATTGATGAACACATGGAGCAATAAGAACTCTAACATACTTTTGGGTGAATATAAATGAGTACAACCACTTTTAAGAACATTGTGGTGTTATCTAGTAAAATGGAAGATGCTCATACACTATAAGTCAGCAATCCCACTCCTAGGTATCTATCCTAGAGGAACTCTTAACACATGCACATTAGGAGATGTTATAAGAATGCTCATTGTAGCATTGTTTATAAACGATATATGTGTTCATCAGCAGGAGAATGGATAAAGCATGGTATGTTCATAAAATAGAATACTATACAGTAGAGAAAATGAATAAAATAGAGCTATAGGTATCAATGTGGATGAAACTCACAAACATAATGCTGAATGGAAAAAGCTAGTTGCAGACTTCTGGTTTCAGCTCCAACATGTAAAGTGCTTGGAAATTATCACTCCTGTCTTACAACAAGAAAAACAGCTGAACAAACTAAAAATCAATGACTTTTCATGGACCCATCAGAGAATTGAAGTCACAGAGCAAACTGCAACCTGGAAATCTGGAGAGACAGGCAGTTACAGAGAATCACAGCCCAGATCTTCTTATCAAGAGCAGAAAGCACTGGAGCCATAAACTGCTAGGAACACTTAAGTGGTAACTTTGGCAAATTGTTGGAGGCAGAGTTTAGATTAGTGTTTGAGTGACAAACTCCTGGGGGCCACAGTCTAAGGGGACCACCACAATTTCATGACTTTTTACCTCCAAGAACTCCACTAGGTTCTCAAGTTGAAGAGCCAAGAAAAATTCTCTTGTTCCTGGCATGGGGAAGGGAAAAGTAATCATTCTGAAATTTATCCAGATCTTCTACCTAACAAAGGGCTATCCAGCAAGTTAAACAACTTTACCAAAGCCTTCTCCAGTGTGGGAAAGGGGAAATTATCCAACTGCAGACCCCTATAGCCTTTCTATCCCATCTGAGAGAGAGAGAGAAAAAGCTGTGAAACATTTGTAAAGGTTACAAGCTGGGGAGACAGACACACTGAAAGAAGGAGACTTAATTATAGAATTGAAGAATTTTTCCACTTATGCTACACCTTACCACCACATCAACCAGGCTTCAGTATAGTTAACTGGATTATAGCTGAAAGACTTGCAAGGCTCAGACTCTAAGAAGTTTTTAGGGAAACCAAAAGAAAACAGGGGAGACAAAAACAAGGACATTAGAGGAAATTGAAAGCTCTGACACCTACAGCTAGAGCAAACATTAAACACAGCCCAACTCCTGGCCAGATTAACATAAAATGTCACACTAACGGCCTGTTTACCCCAGTTCCTATTACATTATACATCATATCTGGCTTTCAACAAAAGAGAAATTATAAGGCATGCTAAAAGAAAAACCATAGCCTCAGGAAACAAAATGTGCAACAGAACCAAACTTAGATATGACACAGGTTTTGGAGTGATCACTTATATGGAATTTAATATAACTATGATTAATATGCTAAAGAGTCTATTAGAAATAGTATACAATATGCAAGAACAGATGTGTAATGTAAGCAGAGAGATAGAAACTCTAAGAAAGAATCAGAAAGAGATGCTACAAATCAAAGACACTCTAACAGAAATGATGCCTTTGATAGGCTCGTCAGTAGAATGGATACAAACAAGGAAAGAATCAGTAAACTTGAAGTCATGTCAATAGAAACTTCCAAAACTGAATTGAAGAGAAAAAAGACTGTAAAAAACTAGAACAGAATATCCAAGAACTATGGGACAATTTCAAAAGGTGTAATGTACACAGTATTAGAATACCAGAAGGAGAAAAGAGAAAGAAGCAGAAGAAATATTTGAAGTAAGAATGGCTGAGAATTTTCCAAAATTAGTGACTGACACTAGACCACAGATCCAGGATCTGAGCACAGAACACCAAGCAGGATAAATACCAAAAAAATATACCTAAACATATCATGTTCAAACACAGAAAACTGAAGACAGAGAAAATCTTGAAAACAACCAGAGAAAAACATTTTACCTATAGAAGAGCAAAGATAAGAATTACATTGGATTTCTCGTCAGAAACCATGCAAACAAGAAGAGAGTAGAGTGAAATATTTAAAATGTTGAAAGAAAAAAAACACCTACCTAGAATTCTATATCCAGCAAAATGATCCTTCAAAAGTGAAGGACAAATAAGAACTTTATCAGACAAACAAAAACTGAGGAAATTTGTCACCAGTAAACCTGCCTTGCAAGAAATGTTGTAAAAAAGCGTTCTCCAAAGAGAAGGAAAATGATATAGGTCAGAAAATCAGATCTCTATGAAGAAAGAGCATAGGAGAAGGAATACATGAAGGTAAAATAAGATCTTTTATTTTCTTATTTTAAGTGATCTAAAAGTTGTTCAAAGTAATAATAGCAATGAGTTAGGTAATTATAGCATATGGATAAGTGAAATGAATAGCAGAAATGTTATAAGGGATAGGAGAG